CAAATGATGTTGCAATTCATGAATTGGCAGATTATATTTTCCAAAACTCATATATTAACATTAGTGAGAGTTTTTTTTATAACCACTGTTTTGCTCACATCTTGAATCTTATCATGAAAGACAGTTTAAAAAAAATTTCAGGAGTGATTTACAAGGTAGTTATGTATTATTTAAAAAAATATTTGATAATTTTTTAATAATTTTTAATCTATTAGATTCGTAGTTGTATTAAAACACTACATACAACCCTGAAGCGACATCAAACTTATTTAGATCTTTGTGAATGTGAATCTGAAAGCCCTGTAATTCCACTATTAGATTGCGACACTCATTGGAATTCTACATATAAAATGTTACGATTAGCAATAAAAATGAAAAATGTGATTATTAGAATGAAAGATCATGACAAAACCTTTTCTGATATACCAAATGAAGAGGAATGGAAAAAGGCAGATAATATTTGTGCTATTTTAAAACCATTTTATGACTGTATGATATTTATTAATTAAACATTTACTATATCAAATTTTAGTAGTAAATTTGCTATATCATAAAACTTAGATTAATTTTGAGTTAAACTTTATATATCGAAATTTAAAAACTTGTACTTATAGTATTAATTTAATTTTATAAAAAACAGATATTCTTAAAACATCAGCAAATTCCTATTCAACTCTTAATAATGTCTTTGGCTCTATCTTAAATATTTGTACTCATCTTTTTAGCATAAAATCCCATACCGAGAATTTTATTCATAACATTTGTGAACCTATAATAAAAAAATTTAATAAGTATTAGGAAGATAGTGGTACTTTATATTTGGTCGCATGTATCTTTGACCCTCGCTACAAGTTGCAATTCATCTCATTCTATTATCATGAAAAGGAAAGACTAGAATCGGATGATCCTAATAAAAAGCTACAAAATATAAGAATGAAGTATATATATTTATTGATTTATTACAGTCAGACCTCCCTAAATGCATATTCTCTAAATGCATAGCCTATGAAAGATCTCTTTAAATGCATAGCCTTATTTGGTTCCAGCTCATATAATGTTTATAAATTTTTACCTTCCTAATACAATACCTCTCTAAATGCAAGATTTTTGGCTATCACTATACATTGAGGTCTGACTATATATAATTATTGTTACGGCTGATGCTAAAATTTAGGCTCAATATAAGTTTATTAAACCTACTAAAATTCACATATTTAGCCATGATAATTATTTATAACTTTATATTACTAATTTAGATTATAAAAATTAGATTTAAAAATACATATCTTCAAATTTACTACTTTTCACCAACTGTTAAATGTTCAACTACTCACAAAGTTATCATTAATACTAAAGATAATACACCCAATATTTGAGAATCATCTTGACAATTTTTTTGAATATTCAATCAAAAAAATTTGGGTTGATGAAGATAATACACTTTATGAAGTTAATCAATATTTAGATGAACCAATTGCTACTAAAGCTACTAATATTTTTGAGTGGTGAAAACTTAATAAAGATTGCTTTCCAAATTTGTCAGCAATGGCTCGAGACTTTCTTGTGATACCATCGACTAGCATTGCATCAGAATGGATGTTTAGTTGTGCAGATCATATCATTGATGATGATTGTACTTCATTAGACTATAACACAGTTGCTGCATTAATGTGTTAGCAAAATTGGTTAGAGATAGCAACAAAGTTTGGATGGAACTTCTGATTTAGAAAAACATTTACTAAGCAAGATATTTTAAATATAATTTTTGAATTGTTAGATATTTACAATTCATTTTACTTTATTTTAATTATACAAAACTAGCATAATTCGCAAACAAGAAGGTTACATGGTTATTAAATGTAGCAAAATATGTCTACATGACGTTATTGGCAGTGCTGTAGTGCTATAAAAAAAAAAAAAAAAAAAAAAAGGTAAACCAAAGGTATTTTTTAGTTAGAAATGATTTACTGGTTTTTATGCATCATATAATTAAAGATTGGATTTAAATTAGGAAGTTAGCATTGGTATTTTAATTCTATATTGATAAATTTGAAATAATTTCTTCTATTTTTGTGAAATTTTAATGCTATAACTGTCATATATTAGTTTTTTTAACTCTTGAAATTTCATATACATTGAGCTGATATTAATACGATTCAGATTACATAATAATTCACTTAATATCTTAAGAATTGTAAAGGCAAATACAGTAAGTTAATTTCATTTAAGATTCAAATTAGATCTTTCAATAAACTACACATGTACTTGTGTATCTATAAAGACTAATGCCTTATTAGTCAGATAAGAATGATTAATTACTGTTTTAAGAATACTACATAATTTTTCTTAAAAAACAGCATGCACACAAATCAACCTTAATCACTACAGAATACTTAAAGCACATATAAATGCCACCAAATTAAATAGCGTTTAAATTATATTTAAATCTGAGAATAAACACAAGTGTAATCATTGAGAATTCACAGAATAATAAGGCAATAAATTAAAATAAGTGCATTCATATGAGTAAATTTTTTGAATAATATTTCATAAAATTTAACCTAATCATTTATGTGATATTGCATGATCTCCGATAAAATAGAATTGATATTGCTTGATTTCCAGTAAAATTGAAATGTAAGATTGTATTTGATTGGTTAATTGCTTGCCTTAAACATTAATCTGCTTATGAAACTGTTTATAAAACTGCATAATAATTATAAATCATTATTGCATTTAATTGGTCAATTGCTTTTCTTAGCTATAAAATGAATATGAAACTGATCATAAAACTGCATAATACATATAAATCATTGGCACATCATTGGTGAATCATTGCTTTATCACTTAATTTAATAATCACTCTTATCAAAAATTTTCACCCATATGTTAATTACAGGATTAGTATTATATAACACAAAATTTGGTAAAAAAAAAATCACAATTTATTTTAAAACATATGCAAAAAATCATTGTACTTAGCTTCAGATAATTACTACATTTTGTAAAATACCACTCTCAGGAAATTATAAAATATTTATTTATACCCAGTTACTATATTAGAATGATACTATTCTAAGAGTAAATAGCTTGTGAACCAAATCTTGGATAGTTTTGATAAATCATATTCAGTTCAGACCCACAGATAGTTCACGGATATCCATGAGCTAATGATTTGGGCTTTGATTTTAAGCTTTGTACCTTAGGATAAGGATAAGGGCTTGAAAATAAAGCCCTCACACAAATGGGTAGGGCTAGGGTACTGTTGCTACCTGGTCTTACCCGGCTCATGTGGAGGCCTATTTGTTATTGATATTTTAGGAAAGTTTTTAAAAAATGATTAACTAACAATACTCTATTTTAAAAAATAATATATAGTTCATATAATATACATAGTATATTTAATTTTATAAATATTAGATTTTATTCTGAAATACTAGAAAAAAAAAGTCTAAACCAAAAAATAATTTTATTTTTTACTCAAAAGATTTATAGCCAAAAATAATTTTAATAATAGACTGTTATATGCATTTGCATCTACTTATCACAGATTGAATAAATAAATAAAGAATAAATAATAGATAAATAATAAAAAAAAAATCTGCTATTATTCTACTCTATATTTGTCAAATAATAGTAGCATAACAGTAACATAACAGTAAAATAATAGTAAAATAACAGAAGGTTTGTCAATATAAGTAACATAATAATAACATAATAACAAAATAATAAAATAGTTTTATTATTTTGCTATTATGTTATTATTATGTTATTCATATCAACAAACCTTCTATTATTTTACTATTATTTTACTATTATATTGCTATTATATAGCAATTATTTAGCAAATATAAGATAAAATAATAGCAAATTTTTTTTCTGTTATTTATCTATTATTTATACTTTATTTATTTATTCAACCTATATATTCTTAATTCAGAAGAGATCTTTATGATACAAGAAAAATTTTAAACATAATATATAAGAGAAATGTATGAATTTTGTGTTATTAATAATCTTAAATATGTTTGATCATATATGTATCAAAATTAGTATTGAAATAAACTTTGGTTATTATAGACATGCTCATTAATGTCAAATTAAATTTGTACTTTTTATACTATTTTGTGTTATTAATAATCTTAAATATGTTTGATCATATATGTATCAAAATTAGTATTGAAATAAACTTTGGTTATTATAAACATGCTCATTAATATCAAATTAAATTTGTACTTTTTATACTACAATGTTAATTAAATCATACTAGAAAGTTGTTAAGTATAATTTTTTATCAAAATTTTTTAGATTACAACTAGATCTTGTAATTTATATTCTTATTGTACAATTTGTGATATATTATTATTAATAATATTACAAATATTATTATTATAAAATTACCTTTATAGTACAAAAAATTTTTAAAAAAATGAAATATATTAAAAAAAAGATCTTAATTATATTTATTTAACTAATACTAACAACTGGTTTTGTAATTACATTAGATTTTTAATAAATCGATTTTTTTTATACAAATACTTTATTTAATTATCTTTTTTTATTACTAATCTATTTTTTTTATATATTTTTTAAAGAAAAGATAAATATCTATTTATAAGTTTACTAACTTAAAAAGTTTCAATTCATAGACTATTATTATCAATATCAAATAATTCATTAGAATTATTATTAAATTATACATTTAAGAATAGTAATTCTAATATAGTAGTTGAGTTTTTATTCTCCAAATAACAAATATAAGGTTCAAATTCTATTTATAATAAAATTTGAAAATTATATTTGCATTATAGTAACTGTTTTCTGTTAATCAGTTAGCCTTATATAACTGTAATCCAGATATACCAAGTTGGGTCTTATTGTCATTAAAAACTCAGGATATTTATGCAAAGTGTAATATTACATATACATAGAGGAATATATAATCAGTATTGTATAAGACTTTAGTACAAACTTATAATAAGACTACTAGATATAGAAGACTAAGAAACTGAAATAACAGAAACCTACTTATAAAATTCTGAGTAAAAAGATATTATAAACTTTTGACAATACTATTGAATTAGTTGAAGCTTACAAAATACCTTCATAAAAATATATTGTTAAACTGAACACCAAATATGTGTAAAGGAACATATAACCAACTAGGTTGCCAGATTTGCTAAAGAAAAAAAATACAGAAATATATCATACTAGATCATCTGAATTGATAGTCTGATCAGAAACTATTAGTTCTAAGTTGTAGCTAGTAGAAAATGATAAAGAAGATATCAAAAAGATAGGTAATAAGGTTTTAGTAAATTTTACAAAATTAAAAATAATGTAATATAGCAGTTAAACAAGTAACTCCTATAACTGTAAGTATTAGATAACTATAATGTATTGTATAAAATTAGGTCAGTATATGGGAGGGAGTCAATAGAAAAGGGACAAATTTTTTCTAAGTAAAAGTTTTCTTGACTTTAAGCTTAAATATCTTAACAACTATTTTATTAAATTTGATAATTTTTTGTTTATTTTAATTCTATATAATTTTAAGATTAAAATAAAAAAAGTTTTAGCAGATTTAATTAAATAGTTGTTGAGTTATTTAAATTTAAAAATTAAAAAAATTTCACTAAAAATGATTTGTCCCTTTTCTATTGACTCCCCCCTATATGTGAAACATAAAAGCTCTAATAAGTTTCTTGTTAAGAATAAAATAGTCTTAAAAGTACTAATTAACTTTAAGAACTTGAATAGGTGTAACTTTAAAAATGTTTTTATAATACAAGATGGATTGCATATATAGAGAGTTTAAATAGACAAGACCTTTAGCTAGCTTGTAAATATAACATCTAGTGTAAAACTTATATAACAATATATAAGCAGACTACTTAAATTAGACATCAAAAGTATATATGTAACTAGTTGTAATCTTCAATATAAAGAAACTCTTGGAAGCAACCTATGTCTTATATACTTAAATAAAAAATATTATATTTTGAAGATAGAGACTTTAAAAAAAAATTATACATTTAATAGTTTATTAAATAAGAAATATATAATAATAAATTTTAATAACACTTGATTAACTTTAATTAATATCAATATATATATTAGATGATATTACTACAATAATAAATAGTAAAAATTCTAACTAACTGTTTGAAAATTATGAATCAATTCTAAAAGACACACTATTGATAGTATAAAAACAACATGAAGCTAATAATATCAAATAGGTATAAGCTGTTGAAAAAAGCTTTAAGAGGATTAGTAATATAATAACAGATATCAAAAAATATAAGTGAAAGATAATAAATCCAAAATCATAAAAAGATTATAATAAATATACCATATTCTTATAACATTATAAAAGATCATTTGAAATAAAATTTACTATGTATGTTACATAAATTAAAATTCAGATATTCATATATTGTTTTTTATTTAGATCAATAAGTTAAAATTTCTTGCACATATGGATTTTGAAATATACAAGCCTTATATAAAACCTTAGTATAACATATAACTGCAAGCAAAATGAAAGCTTCATGAATGAAAATTAATAAAGTAATTTTATTTCTAACTAAATTTAAGATAGAATATAATCTTTATTACATATTTAATTGTACGCATATACTTCAGTTTGATCTAAAATCAATATGCGCATAATTATTTTTTAAATTAAAATTCTAAGTTGATTCAAAAGTTATATTAAATAAATAATAAAAATATTCTTGGTAAAGATATTGTGTACCTGAAATTAGTAAATGTTTAAATTCGTTATTGTTTGCTTGAAACTTTTTGAGGGTTGTTGGTGACAGGAGACTCACAAGATTTTAGAAAGCAATTTTTTTTAATAAATTTATTTATAGGTATTCTTACTATCATTAACAATACAGCTATTATTAACGTTAATAATAAGAGTAATTCAAAAAAAAAGTCGATTATCGCTTATATCGATCATTGCTTATACGTAATATCACGTGATCGCGCAGAAAAATTGGAGGTGTTCTTGGGGTAGTAAGTATTTCCTCCTTTTCCTCTTTTGCACGTGTTCGAATTCTATGTCGGGCTAATCCGGAATAGGCGTTTACGAAAACTGTATCACATGTTCAACCATCTTTTCAAAATTTTTAAAAAAAATTTACGTGCTTGAGCTTATCTAATTGTAATAATACGTAGGAAAATGCCCAAATCTTTTTTAGGCAATTCTGCTTTGGTACTCTCTATATTGCTGAATAAATCTATCTTTAAAAAGAATTATTTTGCAATTTTGTTAAAACTGTGATTTCTATAGGATAATGCTGTTGCTGGATTCACTGCGGGTGCTGTTTCCACGATAATTTTACACCCTTTAGATTTGGTAAAGACAAGATTTCAAGGTGGGTGAGTAGATATATCTGTGAAAATAAGAATTTTTTTAAAACTATTAAAGATTATTAAATAAATTATTGATTTAAATAAATTAATGATTGATTATTCAGCCGATGATTCGATTAAAAGTTTAAAAGAACGTCATTTTGGTGCTACGTTCAATACATTGAGGACAATTGCTCGTAAAGAGGGTCTTATAGGACTCTATCGTGGTGTTTCACCAAATTTGGCTGGTTCAACGGCCAGTTGGGGACTTTATTTTTATTGGTAAGGAAGTATACCAGATCATTGGTAGGTTTATTATCCACATCAAAAGTGTTTTAATATATAAAGTGTTTAAGGGGTGTGTCATCTATTATTAAATGATTTATCATGAATAAATGGATAAATTTGTTATCATGTCTCATATAGTTCATGATCTGATCAACACTTTAAGTAATAAATAACATGCCCCTTACTAACGCATCGATTTAATATTATATTTGGTTATAACTTAGGTACGATTTAATAAAGCAATGGATGGCTAATGGTGATAAATTAACAAAACTCTCCGCTGCACAACATCTATTAGCATCGGCTGAGGCAGGTAATTATGATTGTTAGTAAATAATTTAAAGAAAAAAAAAGCGTTCAATTTAAATATTATGTAATCATTTAAACAAGGTGCTATAACGGTTTTCATGACAAATCCATTTTGGGTGGTTAAGACACGGATGTGCGTTACAAATCGTAAAGATCCGGATGCGTATAAAGGATTAATAGGTAATAAATATTCAACCTTTTAGGACGCTACAGATATCAGCTCATTATAACCAATTTCTCTAATATTCTCTTTTAATTATCGGTTAGTTGACAAATCTTAGTGAAAGGAAGGTGGGAATTGTAATGAGCTGATATTAATTAGTCAATACCTTATTTCTCTAACATAAAAATTAACCCTTAAAATTCTATGTCATGTATTATTTAAAGATGGTCTGTACCAAATAGCAAAGTATGAGGGAATTCGAGGCCTATATAAAGGGTTGATTCCAGGATTATTAGGAGTTTCTAATGGAGCTGTACATTTTATGTTTTACGAGGAAATGAAAAAGTGGAGATTAAAAATTGCACCTGAAAAAGATCGTGAACGATTGGTAAGCTTTATTCACGTTTAGTTTATATTCACACAAGTTCACCTTTTTTCATGTAAACTAATGATAATATGTTTTTTTGTTTTTAGGACAACATTGAATATATTTTAGTGGCTGGGTCTTCGAAAACAATAGCTATTGTAGCAACATATCCTTATCAACTAATTCGCACAAGATTAAATAATCAAAAATTTGTTTTCAAATATAATGGTGTAATTGACACGATAAAGAAGGTTTACAGGTAATATAAAAATTATATTTAACCCCGATTTATATTATAACTAACTTTTATTTTAAAAGTGCTGAAGGGTTTTTAGGATTTTATAAAGGGTTGGCTCCAAATATATTGAGAGTTCTTCCAAGCACTTGTACAACATTTTTAGTTTATGAAAATATGTGTGCATTTTTTAGGAAGCACGCATAATGAATAATTACATGCTATGCAGATTCATAAAATTAGTGAATTCTTATAGTGTGATATTTAAAAAAGCGGTAGACACCAATTATTATGAAGATTGATTTTTGGGAAGTTACTAATTGTGATTTTTTAGGAATGGAGTACGTTAAAAGTGTGAAAATTATACATTTTAATATATTAAGATTAAAACCGGATGTAAATTTATTACCCAGTTAACCGTATGGCTATGAGGTTGCATATTGCATAAGGTCACCAAAGTTAATCCTTGTGGTTCTCATAACATATATATTAAAAAAATTTTCGATTTCTAAAAAGTATATATCGAAATTATCGAAATAGTAAATATAGTCAAAATTTTTTAAAGTTTTTCAAATTTGTTTCAGCTGGGTTATGAGAACCAATTTATTAAATTTGTATGGCCTAATATAGGATGTGAAATAAGTATATATATAGCAACTATTAAATGTAAGAGACCAAGTTAAGGTTGGTCCAACGTGAGGCAAATTAGTATGTAGAGTTTGTTAATAATTATTCAAAATACTAATTGATCTCAAGTTGAAACTAACCTCATATTAGTCCTTTACATTTAATCAGCGTTGGTCAAATTAGTGGTCAATTTTAAATTTCTAATCGTTGGTTAAAGGGTTTCTGGTCATATTAATCTGGTCAAATTGGTCAAATGATTTAGCAATATGAATCAAATTAACAAATCAGATCAATTAAGGGCAGGATGTAATATTTTTTATTTTAATTTTTTTTTTTAAGCTGATCTCTTTGGTCTTTTGACTTTATTAGCACTTTTGGGTTATACACTTGCAAAGTTCATCTGTATCCAAATACTTATTTCACAGCATATCTCTAGTACTTAGTATATTTTTACTTTGTTTTTAGACTTTTAATTTAGATAGCTTAGAAGGATTGTAACCTGTTTGTGATATATCAAGTTTGTTCTAATATTTTTTTTTTCAGTTTGACTTAGCAACCTAATTGGTAGTACCTTTTACCTAAAGGTTCTTGCCTATCTGATTTCTTTGTATTGGTATCTGTTTTCTCAATCTAGTTTTTACAGTAGTACTGTTAAAAATTCATGTTACTTCTTAGATTTTTTCAAATAAATTCTAGTTTTTTTTAGTTTTATAGATTTATATAATTACAAGAACTGAAGATGGTGATTTTAGTGTAATGGTTGGATTGTCATTCTTCAAGTAGTAGATCTAAGGTTCAAATCCCACTTATAATAAAATCTAAAAATTATATTTATATTATAGTAACTGTCTTCTGTTGATCAGTTGGCCTTATATGATTGCAATCCAGATAACCAAGTTAGGTTCTATTGATATTAGAAGCTTAGGGCATTTATATAAAGTATAATGTTATATGTATATAAAAGAATGTATAATCAATCTTGTATAAGATTTTAGTACAAATTTATAATAAGACTATTAGACATAAAAGACTAAAGAACTGAGATAATGGAAACCTACTTGGAAATTTTTAAGTAAAGAGGTAGCACAAACTTTTGATGGTATTGTTGGATTGATGAAAGTTTATAAAACATATTTATAAGAACAGACAGATAAACTGAATGACAAGATATATAAAAGAGCATATGATCAACCAGGTTGCTAGAATTACTGAAAGAAAAAGATACTAAGGTATACTATATTAGCCTATCTGGATTGGAAATCTAAAGAGTCTGTTAGTTCTAAGTTGCAGTTAGTAAGAGATAATAGAGAAGATATTAAAAAGATAAGTACTAGAATTTGAATAAACTTTACAAAGATAAAAATAATGTAATGTAACAGTTTAATATTAGTCCTAATTACAAATGTTAAGTAACTATAGCATGTTACATAAAACTAGATTAGCTATATATAGGATACAAAAGGCTTTAATAATAATGTTTTTAAAGATATACTATATAAAATAAGATATAAGTCCTAAGGATATGAATAAGCATCTCACACCAACTCTTTCTCATAGATCATCAAAACAAACAAAATTAACAAAAACTTGGAAATAGTACTATAAGTTCCTTATAATA